CTGCATCTCCTGGAGGCTGCAGCCTCCCAGCTGCCACCCGCACTACTTTGGCCATGTAACTAACAGTGTCTCTTGGCAACTGCTTTCCAGTAGCCTGATGTTTACCAACACCCTACGGATTTGTTTTGCAAATAAACATCTCGCCAAAGAGCTTATTTTGAAAAGGCTTATTAGTGTTAACCTGCTTTTGCCTTCCAAATAGATTTCTCCTAGTTACTTTAATTTTGAGAACAGCCCGAGACTTTAATGGAATATAAATGAGCAGAGTGTGTGGCTCCTATCAGAGTGTCGAGAAAGAAAATAGCTGTCTAAAATAGCAAGCCAAATGGACAGTTAAATAAAATATAGCATCCTCGCTCCTCATTTCCTCGCAGGTAGAAACGTAGGGAGTGCTGTGAGTCATGCAGCACCTCTCTATTCTGCCGCGTTTCTAAGGATCTGTGCTGAAGGTTCGTCCCAGTTAAATTCTCCTGGAGCAGACTCAGTACTGCACACATTTTTGCCTTTCAGTTTGTTTAAAACACCTGTTGAAATTAGTAGAAAGATCTTCAGCTGGCTAAGATAGGGGCCCCCTCTTGTTCTCTGATCCCTTGGCTGGATATGGAGTAGCTCTGCATAGAAGAAACTCTTGGAGAGAAGAGCTAGAATTGAGACAAATATCCCCCAAGGAAGCATGGTTACTTTTCAATAGTTGTTTTTGGTAAGTTGCCTTGACTCAAACTGATTGCAAGTTTTCCATAAAACTTGGACCAAAATGATAAATGCTGCCTTGCCACATCAGTGTCCCAAACCTCGCGTTCTTCCAGGGTGGCAGCATTTTGTACACCTGGCAAGCTGAAGTGTCTGCCTACAAATGACAACTCATAGCAGCCTACTTCATCCAAACGTTTATGTTGGGTGGAATTTCAGCCATGGCTCTGTGATGAATCAGTTCTCCCTATGCCTGCTGCCTACCAATGCATATACTTTGCTCCTATCAGCAGCAATTAGGTAATGAGATATTTCCACAGCACTAGGTCTTTGCATATAAGGTTGTCATAGGAATGGTGTCAACATGAGGAAGCCTTTGGTAGAAATACCCAAATTATAGCTAGGGCATAAAATAAACTATAATGCACTTCAGCTTAAAATTGTGTTTACAGACAAGTTTGTAATACTTCCTGTGTATGTTTGTAGTGGAAATAGAGCATCAAAAACATATCTGGGCCTTGATATTTTAGGAGAGTCACGGACGTCTCCAAAGTGGGCATGTGAAGGGTTCCCTTTCCTGGGAAAATATTTGCTTCTGTTCATTTTCAGAACAAGGCTTCTAAAATGTCAGTGGTCTTTAACTACAATGGATCTCTCCAACACAAAAATCTTCTCCCATAACATATTACTTCTTACGTAGTGCTGGTGTAGATAAAGTCACTGTGGTCCTCACAACTTTGGGGGTATTGCAGAGGTGGCAACGCTGATGCACAGCAGTTTATATATAGAAGCAGTAACTGATATACCTACTATCAGCAGAGCTATAACAAGTAACATCTTCAACTGTTATTAGAACAGTTTGAACATACGTTCTTTACTAACGATGCCTGAAGGTTGCTTTTCCTTCATTCAAGCTTAAGAATTGCTGCTTTTTCATGTGTCTCATAATTAGAGCGGGGATCTTTGGGTCAGGTTTTACAAATCAGGAATTTTGTTCCCAGCTACTGTATTCCTAGGAAATCTGGACACCACAACAGATTATTTAGGCTTGTGCTTAGCTTCACCAGATGGTTGGTCGCGTGGAGTTCATTTAGCTCCGGCGGAAGGATTGGCTCTGGAATTATTTGCCTGATTACATGTGAGCGTGGCAGGAAGGTCGCAGACGGCAGAACTGTTATTTCTGCCCTGCAGCTGTCCATTTGTGTGCAAAACTTGCAAGGAGAGGCATGTCTTAAGCAGTGCTTGCTGCTTTTGCACCTTTCCCTATTTCCTTGAAGAGGGGCAGGGGTCTTATTGCCATCCCTAATTCAAGTATCATGGGGACAAGCAGGATTTTAAGTCTTACTCCTACCTTAGCAGCAGTGCATCTCAAAAAAAAAAAAAAAAAAAACCCACAGTGGGCTTTATATACTAATCACCTATTAAAAGTTTGATTCATTTTCATACCTTTGGTCTCAGGAGGACTAGAAATACAATGCAAAGGCTTTTAAGTACTTTTTTAATTAGCATTTCAAATGAAGTCTTTCCCCATCACATTTCAAGCACTAGTACAAGAATCAAAGGCAGAAGCAGGGGAAAATGTCAATTACTCTTCCATAACAACTGCGAATGATGTTATCATCGCTACAGATATTAAAGCCATTTACTTGCCACCACCAAATAAAAGCTCTACGTAATTAAAACATATGGCTGATATTAACTGAAAAAAGGGACAGGAAATTGAACATTAAGGGTGACTCTGCCCTTGATTCACTCTACTGGGAGGGAGGCAGTGGTGAAGTGTGCTGAGTGAAGGATGGACTGACAGGCTTATCTCTGAATTTCCTGCCTTTCCTCAGTTACTATTGCAACCTTCCTGTCCAAGTGTTACAAAACAAAAAAAGCTGAAGGGTTGTAAAACCTGATTAGAAGCTATTAAAGAGTCTGACTATATTTAGATGCTGAATTCTTCAAAGTAAAGAATCAGCTCCCTTCACCCTCTGTATTTTTGCCATGGAAAGAACAGTTGGGGCTTTTAGTAAAACAGTTGTTCAAATATCACATGTTTAATGAAGTCAGTGGAAATTTCCATTCCTTCTCTCTCTTTTTTTTTTTTTCTCTGAAAGGCTATAATGCAGAAAGCTATTTTCTGGAAGCATTTGCCCAATCCCATTTAAATAGAAGTGTCTTTTCAAAGTACACATGAGATTAGTTCTTCTGACAGCCCGCGTAGAGCCACCTTCATCTATACTAAGCGAGGATCTGCCTTCCTGTTTTATGGTTTACTTGAGGTAATGTTGGTAACTTCCTCCCCGCCTTTTTTAACCCTTCTTCATGCCAGTTTTGGACCAATACTTAATGAGATTAACTATGCCATTTTACTTCAAGAAATGATTAATGCTGTAGAAATGCTTTACTGTCCTTGCATTCAGTGCCCATTGCACGCAGTTTTTTTAGTAGGAACTTTCTGACTGTATGTTATGAAGTAGTCATATTAAAAATTCAGAAGGACAAGCTATTATCAGATTCTAAAAAAAACTGTAAGCTATGCGCTTTTCTCAAAAGATTAGTGACCACGTTAATTCTTTAAATAAGTAGAAACTTTGGCAAACCAATATGCCAAAAAGGAATCCAGTCCTGTAAGCATGTGCAGGAATGATCCTCATTAAAATCGGTGAGAGTAACTGCTCTTTTCTGTTAACATGAATTTGCAAAACCTAGCTGCCACGTTATCTTAGAAACACATATTCATACCAGTCAGGTTACATTCCTGTGAACTTATTCTGTTCACAATTTCTTGTTAATCGACTGAAAATCTCTTTAGCCTTAAGTTAAGATGTCCATATAAAACAAGTACCCACATGGTTCTTTGGGTCTCTATAGGATCGCGTTAAAAGCCTAAGCTTAACTTTCTGGAGATTCATTTCCTTCTCTTTTGTTGTGCTTATTATTAAATGTTTCTAAATCCTAGTTTGGCACTCCAGGCCATGAGATGTTGATGAGATCCTGCCTTCAGGTAGCTAAAACAAACTCTTTTCTGCACGTTTTCAATATATTTATCAAAACATTTGCTTCATTACTCCTTTAATCTTTAAATAGGAACACAGAATATTCTCTGTGTTTTTGGTTTCTTGTTTTGTTTTGGATTATGTTTGGTTCTGTAGCCCAGATACCAAAAGAATAGGTGCATAGGGTTTCTCAACCTGCAACTAAACAGATATTTGAAAACTGAATATGCAAAATGGCAAAATTCTTAAAAGAGCCTCTACGTATTTCAGACTACCCCTATATTTTCAGTGTCACATGCAAACCATTTTTCATTTTCAGAATTAGCAGCCCCAAAAATGAAAGGGACAAGCCTCTTTCCACTGTCTCAGGACCCTGATGCAGATAGATGCATCAACACCCTACGCTTTGCAGTCAGGTCACGTTTTCAGCATGGAAAATTTGAACTATGAAGCCAGGTCTCACTCTTAGAGGCTGTGACTTGCTGTAATTCATTTCCATAAGCTCAGAATCTTCTCTGTAATTGATAAAATTATCTAAAGGAAAATTGGAACTGAGTGTATTAAGCAAATAAAGATTTTATTCAGCAGTATCTAATATTCAGGACTCTGTCCGTGATGTTGGTACTTGCCATACTCTATATGTGTCCCTGTGTGCTCCTCTACCCTCGATACACTCAGCATCATGGTTATTGATTTATAACTGTATGGAGACATCCATGGAAATGAAAGGAAGCTTTTTGTTTCAGAATTAATTGTCCGTGGATCTGTAAGATTGCAATAGGAACAGCATGACCATCTGTAGTGAGTATGTTTGATTTTAGACATTTAGGTTATAAATCAAAGTGAACTTAGTACTCCTGAAAGGCACTAGTACAAAGAGCCCAGAGACTCAGGTCATCCGTTATCTGCAGAATTGATACAGTGCAAATAACACCACTGAAAATTGCTACAAGCCCATCGCTTTTATAGAGGTAACTCATTCACTTGGGTGCTAATGCCACTCAGTCTTCTGTGTTCCTTCCTCCTTGTACTGAAATCACAAGTGAGAATTCCCCATTTGAGCATTCTGGCCCAAGAACTCATATAATTAAATGTTGTTTTCCAAATATTGTCTAACACCAACTCACCTTTCACTAGGCAGTTATTAGTTACTAGGTGAATGCAACTGTAAGTCACCAGCTGATGGGTAAGGCTCACTGTTGTTTTCCATGAACTAGCTTTCCTGCCCTGGTAAGAGTAGTTGTTTACATACTGCTATTCCGTTAGAGACTGAGATTTACCTCTCTTGCTGTCTCTCTCTTGTTGGATGTCTTAAGGGCACAGAAAAATTCGTAAGAAGTTCACCAGATTGCAACTGAAAAGAGCTTCCAGAACACCTTGTACTACAATTATTGCGAAGACAAAGTCTCTCACGAACAATAGGCAGGCACAAATAGAGCCTGGAACTATCATGCACTGAAGATTACAGCGACAGCACCATAATTGTGTCCGAATCATGTGTAATTGTGAATGCAGATACAACAGGACCTTCCACAAGTAGATGAAAGACGGAAACACTGCAAGGCCAGACTGTGGCTGGGTTTTGTGTTCTGGGCAGAATCCAACAGCAGCCCTTGTGTCTCCCCATCTCCACAAGGGCTACTTCTGGTTAGCTGGGCTAGCTGATCTCCAGTTGTCCTCCTGTTCTTCCCATCAGCAGTCATTAGAGTTGGCTGGTCAAGGAGGGACAGGCACTGGACACACTGGAGTATGGATCCCCCCTCCACATTTGTCTAAGCCTTTTAGCGTGGTGATGTGAAAATATGCAGTTTTCAGGATGATTGTAGTGTTTTTAAAGCAGGATTTAGCCTTAAGGGGCTGCACTTTCAAAATCATCTGCAGACTTTGGGTGTTTTCATTTTTCAGTGTCAGCTTCAGTCACTTTGAGTTAGATTTGCTGAAGTGTTGAGCATTGAGCATCTCAAATGAGGACAAGCTCAACAGTTCAGCAACTTAGACCAATTTAGGCAGTGCCCAGAATTAGTGGCCAGTTTTCAAATTCTGACCATATTAACTTTGGCTAGTATGTCAGAAAGTATTGCGTGTGACAGTGAATATTCAGGTGGGCTAGTTGCTTATGTAGGAACTGGTCCCATTGTATATTTGCAACCATCCGTCTGTTTCTTTGGGTATTTTTAGCGTTTCATGAATTCTTCTCTGAATAGCGAAAACCAGCAGAATGCCATTCCCAATAAAAAATGAAGAAATAGAACTTTTCCTATCAGAAATGCCTCTCCCTAAAACAATTTTACATTTCAGTACATGTGGATGAAAAGGTGTGTCTTGCAGAATGCCTTGACATTCACGATTGTAAGGCTGCAGATGAATACTTGCCATGGAGAGATGATGTGCCTTTTGAAACTATTTGTAGGAAACTGTCAGTCCTGCTGCAGGTGGGAATGACAACAGAGGCAGGTCTTTTTTCTACTCAGGTACTTACAGGTTAACAAACTCTGCCCTACTTTGCAATCAAGAAGCAACCAGCATGTAGTACTGCTTTGTCAACTTGGATATGTTGATTATTTGAGGTGGTTTTTGTCCTTCAATAGATTTGATTTCTGTATGACTTTAAGACGTAGTCAGACATTGAACCCATCATAAGCTGAGACAACCTTCAAGACTGTTTTCCCGATTCTTTATTAGGTAGCTCTAACAGTATTGTATAGATGTCAGCTCTGTGCTTAGAATGACAATGACTCAAGTGGTATCTCATGCCTCTGGGTGGTCCCAAAAGAACTTCTCCCCCATGTGATTTATGTTCTCAGACTGAAATAAGTCTGTGATATCAGCCAATAGCTAGCGGCACTGTCAGTGCAGGGTTTTGAGTTATTGAGACAAAGTCACCCAGATGTTTCCTCAAGAGAAAAAAAGCCTCTCTATTTTGCTGAAGGGACTTGCTGATGATTTTCCTGAGTGATGGATCCGGGTCTTGTCCAGTGTCTTTCACCAGCAAGAAGAATGTGAATCTGAAGGAGACATTATGACATGAAGTGCTTTTGGTATCATGAACACCTTAGTGTTTCAAAGATTTGGATTCGTTTGGAGAAGACCTGGGATTCATCTGCTTACAATTCCTTCCAGTAGCTGCCAAAGCGTGCAGTCCCAGCGGCCTCCTCAATCCACAGAATCTGCTTTTTCCTCACAACAAGAGGGCTTTTCAACAGATAATGAGCAGAGACAACCTATTCTTATTAGCGAGAATTGCCTTTACTAACTGCGACATATAGAAATATCTTCTGTATAATAGCTTCCTCACCCATTAATGTAAAGAAAACACAATTATTCAGAAATCCATTTGACTGAAAGTATGAAAAACATGAACAGAAAGAGCTTTGTCTCCCTCCAGCATCACTGAAATCATACACAGAAGACTAATTTCCAATGTCATTAGATGTAAGGTGGTGGATTTTGTCTGATTTACCCTGCCTTATTAAGCTTGTATGCAAATTCTTTCTTTTAGTCAGTGTACTTCAGTGTCTGACTAGTGCTTTGTAAAATCTTTGTGTACTCTGTTTTCTGCTCTTGACGAAAGTATTAGTATTTGTAATAGTCTGATGTGAAGTCACTTTTTTCTTCTTTCCCTTCGAGAGAGAGATTCATACCACAACTCCCTGTTACGCAGCCAGCTGCCCGGTGCAGTTGTTTTTTGCATCAAATCCAAGGTAAGGAAGCATCCTCCTTTACATCTTCAAGCTGAGGCACTTCATCTGGATACCCTGGAGATGACGCTGTGCCCCTGCATGACAGAGTCATTTCACAGGTTGCAGCAACCTGCCCTGGGAAGGGTAAGGATGCTGCTCACTGCAACAACTCCTGTCTTTAACCTGCTTTGCATGCAGCTGCACAGAGCCTTTCTCTCCTCTAAAATGCACATGTGCACAGAGAAATTATACTCCGTGTGTGGCACATTTGTCTTTTGCCTACTCTCTCTGAACCTTATCTTTCCTGCAAGATGTTCTCCGCAGAGGGATACCTCTGAGTTTCAACAGAAAGCATCTATGGAAGAGTGGTTGAAGATGTATTCTGTTGTGCTTGGGCACATAGATTTAAGCTTGGTAAAAACTGTCACACTTCTTTCCACAGTGTCACGCAGTTTCATGCTTTCTGTTATTTTTTTTTTCCACTGGCTAAGAGCAAAGATGACACATTCTACTGTAAGCTATAACAGTATATCCACAAGCCAGAGCTCAGTACTGTTTTCATCAAGCTTCTCAAGCTAGTTATTTTAAAACATATCTCAATCATCAACCCTGAAACTGAGCATAAACATAAACCTCAGAAATAAGGACAAGAAGTTTTGTTCTTATCAAGAATGTGAGCAAGAGAATCTAGCCAGCATCACTGCAATTTCAATATGATTTATTTTCTTGTTAGCTAAGTAACAAAGCTATATGGAAAAACTGCCTCTCATCTTACAAATACGGGATTAGAAAACCATGCAAAGTGCATGATCCTTTTGTGTCCAGAGGTCTCATAGGAAAAGTAGGAAGATCTTGTAAAAATGCCTATGTTGCTGATTTCGAGTATGTAACTACTTTGCTCTCTTGAAATATTTTGTATGTTGTTTCTAGAATATTTTTAAAGGCCTTGATTTAATGATGGAAGTTTGGGGTTTGTAGGATGAAAAAATGAGGTTTTGAAATACATAAGTTTGCTCAAAATATGTTGGTGATACTAAAATATCATCCTTTAAATCGATGTTTTGTTTGAAAGCAAATATTGCTCTTGTTTCTATCATCCTAATCTCGTATCAATGTATGAAAAACTGGGGTCAGGACTGAAACTCCAAAGGATGAAGAACAAACAAGTAGTAAAAGTGGTGAAATGGAATTTGCACTTACATAATGTATACTTTTTATTAATCTAAAGTAAGAATGTTTTTATAAACATGATTTTAACCCAGTACTTTTGCAATTACTAAGGCTTAAGTAAACGGAATGGCTGCATTGTAGTTTCTTATTATACTCACGACATAAACATTTCACAGCCTTATGCAGAGAATGATTATAATCCTGCAGAAACAGTTCATTGCAAAGCACAGTGGATGTTGTATCTTTATATATGTGTACTGCTACGGTAATGAAAGTGTTAGAATCCTCTGAAAATTTCAACAAAACAATATTCATTTTTCATTTTCTGTTGAAGGTCCTTTATATAAACCATGCCTTCATAAACCAGAGTGGGTGTCAAGAGATCTCAGTTTATATAACCGCACAGTTGAATTTTTTGGAATAAGACAAGACTTTTTTAATCAAATGTTGCACATTAAGGGAGGCAACCTAATTTTGGAATAAGGAGATTTGGGATAGGAGTTTTGAGGTCATATTGTACAATAATCAATACATTTTCAGAATACGTTCCTGCTGTTATGAAGATTTAACAGTTCGTATTGAAATACAGTATTGAAGAATAAATAAAAATGAAGCATGAAAGAGCTGTCATTTTAAAAATTCTATTGTTTGCACTGAAAGGGAATGGTAAAGCTGGGTGGCTAACTGCTTAGTACTAAGCAGATGTGGAGCACCTTTGAACTAAACATAGCAAATAATTTCATTTACATTAAAGTGTCTTTGTGTACAAACTTTGTGACTCTTGGCCCTTTTTGGAGGAAAAGACTGCATTGACATCATCCTATTTTATAGTTGACATCTGAACAGTCAGAAAACTGAGATGTGACAAGCTCTTTAAACTGCAATGTATTTAGAGACAAAAGTAGTCGAATTGGGCTTGTGTAAAGAAGGTTCAGAAGACTGGGTGAGAGGTACTGGTCACTGCACTGGGACACTGCCCTTGGTCATTGCATTGGTGTTTGCAGGTGAGACCAGTGGAGGTGGGGGACATAATCTGAAAACTTGTCCTTACTAATATCTAATTTTCCGAACTAAAATGGATATTTTTTTTGCAGAGGAGGAGATCTATACATGGGGCTTCTTCTGTAGCATCTGGATTTACTTGACATGGTGAGTTACATGTATTAGCCCTTCTGGGTGAAGAACACTGGTATCGAGGAGGGAATAATCTGTCCTTCGATGGAGTTGCTAGGGAAATGGGCATCTCTCTAACCACGCTTACAAGACACTACATTCAAAAAGAGATCCAAGACTCTTGTTACATAGAAAGAATATAAAGGTTTTCTATTGCTTGTCTGAAATATGTACTTGAAGGGAAAGGGCACATAGTTACAGCGTTCTTCTCTCCTGTTGCCTTTACACCATCCATCTCCCAAAACAAACAAACAAACAAACAAAACGCCTGTACTCTCTGCTTAAAAGCATAAGCAACAGAAGCATGAAACATTGGAGAGGGCACTTTACTAAGATATGAGTTCTTGTTTGGTCCTTCTTCTATAAGAAGAGCTTTCATCAATGTTGTAAATGCAGAATATATTTTCTGAGAGACTGAGTTGCTGAGACACATTTTCATAAAGTCTGATGCATTATGGCTTCTTAAACAAAAGCAATCTAGCAGACTAGCAATTATTCTCATTTACATTTAAAGAAAAAGTCCTGAATAAGTTTTAGGGCTTTCTTATACTATGGTATAACACTGTGGCAGTATCAAAGGTTGTTCAAAGAAGTGTGCATTCTTCATAAGCTAAGTAAGGGGAAATTATTCTTTTACATTATAACAAGTAAGCCAGGCCAAAGCTCTGCATCTGGCCTAAAGTTTTTGAGATGCACATTCAGGTCAA